AATCAAGAATTCAAATCCACCCTCAGATGCTTCACTTCTGCAAACCCCAGGGTGTCAAATTCCAGTCCTCAAGGGCCACTATCCTGCAGTTTTTAGAGGTGCCAAAGGAACAAAACGGCTTAATTACCTCCTTCTTGTCCAGAGCCTTGCTAATGACCTAATTATTCTAGACAGGTGTGGTGCAGCGCAGCAGAGGCACATCTAAAAGATGCAGGGCAGTGGCCCTCCAGGACTGGAGCTTGACACCTGTGAACAAACCTGTCTGATTGGAGTCAGTGCATCCCTTGGGTTGAATGTGCACATAACTCACATTTCTGCTGCTACTGGTTCTTCTCCTTTTGAAGTTTCCCTAGACTACCAACCATCACTGTTTCCTTTTGACGAAAAAGAGATTTCCATGACATCTGTCCAACATCGCATCCGCCGCTGCAAAAATATCTGGAACAGAATCATCACCGCCCTCATCAACACCGCTGAACAAAACCGACGCCATGCTCACCGCAAAAGAACACCTGCCCCACAGTATTCACCCGGAGAAAAGGTCTGGCTTTTTGCTGGTGACATCCCTCTTAAATCCATGTCCAAAAAATTCTCCCCCAGGTTCATTGGTCCCTACAAAATTGAAAAGGTCATCATTCCAACCGCAGTCTGTCATCCCATCCTCCCATCATCCCTTCATATCCATCCCAAGTTCCACATTTCTCAAATCAAACCTGTTCAGACCAGAACACTGACCAGCAGTAAGATCACTCCTCACCTCTCCTCTAAAGCACTTACCTGTCCACTCTACACCACAGCCTCTCCCATCCACCTCTAATTAACTCTGCCTGGATCTCACACTGGAACCCTGGGACATCTCAAGAACCCCTGCAAAGAGACCACTACCCCAGTGACCACAGTAAATCCCCCCTGGCAGAAATGCATCACCACACCAAGTAAGATCGGTCCATCTTTTCCTCTGAAGTTCATTTGTCTGATAACCCTTCAAACTCACCATCTCTCTCTCTCCCACTGAGAACCGAAGACCCTGACTTCCATCCACAGCAGAGGAACCACACAATTTCACATTTCATCATTGTCAAAATAAACTTTATCTGATTTCCTGTTCTTCTGATTGTGTTCAGTATGTGGGTAAAAAGATTTGAAACCAACATGACAGAACACTCAGGCCAACAGTCAAGTCCTG